CCAACCAGGGTGCAATGTAGTTGTAAGTCAATATCATTACAACATAGGCACTTAACAGGAAGACATGACTGATGCAATACACCTGCTAGCATGAGAAGAAAGCTCGCCCGCTCTGGGGAAATGCTTCCGATAGCCCATTTCTATTCCTTTTCACTTTGTCCTTGATTTATTGCCTCTGTCGGGCTTCAGCATGACAAAGGCTTCAGCTTTCAGCACAAAATGATATTCCAGACTCCACTAAATATATTTGTAAGACAAGGGCAGCCAACAAAATTAAACTGCCGGCACAAAGACCAGCTGTTATTTAAAGCTGGAGAGAGATTACCGAGGATTATTACTTTATCAAAAAATATTTCAGCTACAAAACCAGTGCTTTTTCCTCCAGCACCTTTGGCTGTGTGCTAATTTATCTCCCACCTTGCACGGATTTAGTCTTTCATTGCCAGTTTATTGAAAAGCCTGACAAATGTCAATGGCCTGTGTTGCTGGACACCCAGGCTTACTTAGTTTCTGCTACGGAGAGCTGGAAATCAGGACCTTCAGAGGGGAATCACGTGTGTTGCTGCTTTGATTTTCATTGTTGTGCTTTCATTTCAACTATCAGGCACTTCATCTCTAGTCTCATTTGTCTTTTTAGAGGCCCCATCTAAGGCGGGCAATTCAAACACCTAAAAATCAACAGTATCAGCATTATGGGGCTGATGACTTGGTCACGTTTTTTTCCCTAACTTTTTTTTAAATCCAATATTTTACCTGTTTTAAATTGCCTCCCTTTTAAGATATTTTTTCCTCAGACCCATATTATACTTTGAGAAGAAAAATATCTACCAAAACTAGGAATAAGTGGAGGAGCATATCCATTTTTGTTATCTGCAACTTTGTGAAGTTTTATTCTCATTTTATTTCTGTGCTTTTAAGCAAGGTGGTTAGTGAATTTAATTTCCTCTTTTTCTTTCTTCAGTGTCCTTTAGTGCACAACAAAGATATGACAGTGAACACTTTTAAAGATGAATCCTTAGTATATGCTTGTAAAAAGAATCTTTTACTTGAAAAGAAATGCCCTCTTTTTAAAAGAAGCTGTTAAGCAATTTCTCTAAGAAAAGTTGCCCACAAAGATGGAATATTTATCACCTGTAGACCCAGGGTCCGATATTGTGCTAGTCCAGGAGTGCTGAGTCCTGGAATTCAGACCATAGCAGTGGATGCGCGTGAACAGTGATTTTGACAATTTCTGTAATAAACTGAGGCAGAAAGCTCATTTGAAGGGCACTTAATGCAGTATTTGGGAGGGGACCAGGAAAGCTTCCCAGAGAAAGTGACATTGAATCAAAACTTGGAGAAATTAGAACTTCCCAGCAAAGAGGGAATGAAGGCAGGAAAAAAAGAGGATTCAAGCAAAGGTAAGAAAATGTGCAAAGACCTACAGAAAGGACAGAACATGAGGAATTCAATCGTTTGAGCATATTTTAATATAGATACAGAGTATAGTTGGGTGTGAGAATCCAAAAGAAAGGAAACTTCAGAGGATAGCAAGAGCCTGGGATTGAGGAGAGTTTAGAGATGAGCCTGTAGGCAGTGGGAAGCTGTAGAAAAATAAGTGACATGAATATATTTGCATTTTTAAAAGATCACCCTGGTCAGAATGGAGAATGAATTAAAGGGTACAGGCCTAGAGGTGGGAAGAAGTATTTGAACTCTGTGGCCATAATCTAATTCCAAGATTAGGGTGGCCAGAACACCGATAGCCGAAATGGGAGTATAAAGAATTAAATATATTTAAAGAGACGGTGAAAGCAGCTATGCTATATGCAATGTAAGTATATTCAGTAAAGTGTGGTGATTCAAGGACTCCAGAGGGGTGAGAAAGAGGAAAAGAAGAGTGATACCTGTTTCTGACATGCAGGCTTCTCTGAAAATGGAAAACTTCAAGCAGAAGCAGGAGTTGAAGTGGTGGGGAGGTGTTGAGGTAGAGCTTGAGTTCATTTTGGGATGTGCTGAGTTTCAAAAGGCCTAAGAGACAGCCGTGCAAAATTGCACCTGTAGGTAACTGGCACAATTATTTTAAGGCCAAATAGATCTACCCAACCTAGGCATATAGATTTGGGTTTATCAGCATACAGTAACAGGATGAAGTCATGGGAATGGGACTAGATGACATAGCTCAGTAAGGTACACCTTTACTTCAAAATAAACAAACAACAACAACAACAAGAAAAAGAGCTAACACACAGGAAAAGTCAACATTTAAAGGGTAGGTTGAGGACAAGGTGTTCATATTCATCCAGAAGACGGAGAGGTGGCCAACAGCACTCCAACACTCTTGTTAGGGCATCTGTCAACGAAAAGTCAAACCCTGTAAAATACTTGAAGAGATTTATTCTGAGTGGAATATGAGTAACCATGCTCATGACACAGCCCTCAGGAGATCCTGAGAACGTGCGCCCATGGTGATTGGGGTGCAACTTGGTTTTATACATTATGAGACATCAATCCCATACATTTAAGGTAACCATTGATTTGGTCCAGAAAGGCAAGACACCTCGAAGCTGGGGCTTCCAAGCTATAGGTAGATCTAAGATTTTTCTGATTGGTTGAAAGAGTTAATATTAATAGAACGGAATGTCTGAATTATGATAAGAGGTTGTAGAAACCGAAGTTTTATCATGCAGATAAAGCCTCCAGGTAGATCGCTTCAGAGAGAATAGATTGTAATTATTTCTTATAAGATTTAAGATCGATGTCAAATGCTAGTTGGCTTTCTTGAATTCCAAAGTGGGGAGTGTATAATGAGGTATGTTCAACACCCCCCTTTCTTATCATGGACTAGACCAGTCTTTGAAGTTAACTTTGGAGTTCCCTGCCCTAGAGGAGGGATTCCATTCAGAGGGTTTATGTGATATAACTGGACTTCAAATTTTATTTTTGGTTTACATATGTGTGTTCTAGGTAGCTTGTGAAGATTAAGGCCTGAAGTAGATCTGGCAATGAGGGGTTTCTTATTAGACTTAGCATGAACTATTTAAATAAAATGTGCTTAACCATTAAAAGAAATGTAGAATCATTATATATATATATATATATATATATTTTTTTTTTTTTTTTTTTTTTTTTTAATTTTTCCAGATGGAGTTTTGCACTTGTTGCCCAGGCTGGAGTGCAATGGCTTGGCTCACTGTACCCTCTGCCTCCTGGGTTCAAGCAATTCTCATGCCTCAGCCTCCTGAGTAGCTGGGATTACGGGCATCCACCACCATGCCAAGCTAATTTTTTTTGTATTTAGTATAGACAGGGTTTCACCACATTGGCCAGGTTGGTCTCAAACTCCTGACCTCAGGTGATCCACCCGCTCTGGCTTCCCAAAATGATGGGATTACAGGCGTGAGCCACTGCACCTGGCCTGTTTTCAATTAAATTATTTCATCATGCATTCTTCCATTCATTCCTTCATTCACTTGTTGAAGAACTACAGTAACCGAAAACATCAAAAGTGGGCGTGTGTCCACAATAGTCATCCCATGTGTCTTCGGCCAATATCCTTTAGTTATTTATGCATATTTATTGGAAGGGAAAAAAACTAATTTTCTTTTAATGAAAATGTAAACCACTTTCTTTATGCTCTAACAACAGATTTACTTCAAACACTTAATTATTTTTATAAAAGTAATACATTTAAAATTCAAATAGTACAGAAAAACTCAACATAAGAGAGCAACTATTGCCCCACCCTCTGGCCTTCCTCCTCACATGCAGTTACTTTTAATTCTATTACTCTTCTTGCTATTTTTCACTTGAGTTTACTAAATGTGTTGTTATTTCTTGATTTATCTATTTTAGATATAATCTTTTGCTTTCCTACATTGGTAAATGAGGAGCTGCCTTTCTGAGACCCAGTCACATGGGAGTCTCTCTCGTGCTTTCCGTATAGGTCTGTCACCATTTTGGTTAGGTTGGTTTTCAGAGTCTTTATTGTTTGTCTGATCTATGTATGCAGGTGATAAAGCTGGTATTTGTCACTTGCATACTTTTTCCAGGATCCTCCTTCCAAATGCTCTTTCTTCTTGAGTCTCATTCTAGACCTAAAGACTTAGTTTCCTCAACTTTAAAATTCTTGGGTTTTTTTTTTTTTTTTTTTTTTTTTTGAGACATAGTCTCACACTGTCACCTGGGCTGGAATGCAATGGTGTGATCTTGGCTCACTGTAAACTCTGCCTCCCGGGTCCACAAGATTCTCCTGCCTCAGCCTCCCAAGTAGCTGGGATTACAGGTGCACACCACCACACTCAGCTAATTTTTTGTATTTTTAGTAGAGATGGGGTGTCACTATGTTGATCAGACTGGTCTCAAACTCCTGACCTTGTGATTTGCCTGCCTTGGCCTCCAAAAGTGCTGGGATTACAGCCTTGAGCCACCCCACCTGGCCAACTTTAGATTTCTGAACATTCTGGGCCAAATAGTTATTTGTCATGGGAGCTACCCTGGTTTTACAGATGTTTTGCAGCCTCCCTGGCTCCCACTCACTGCATACCCATAACAGTCTCATCTTGGCTATAAAAAATATCTCTGTATATTGCTAAATGTCCCCTGGGAGGGCAAAAATCATGCCCAGCTGAGAACCATTGACCTAGGCTGGCTGTTCTCTATGACTTCTGCATAGCTACCCCGAAATCCCTGGCCTGTTCTGTTGTGACTTCTCTGTTTCCTGGGCCTCGTATCTTTCTTTTTTATAAATTCTTTAATTGGGTGAAGCATGTTGTGACAGGCACCTTCACAATGGCATCCAATAACCCCTGTCTCCTGGTATTCACACCCTTGTGTATTACTCTCCCAGGATGGACTATGTGCCTTTTTCAAGTTTAGGTTCTAAAAGACTTTGATTCTGTTTTAACTGTCCTCTTGTGTCCCCCCTCTACACCCTTGCCCCCTGTCCTCTACTGTCTCTGGGGAAGCCAGAAGACATGCTGTTCAAGCAGCTCTATTGAAAAACCAGCATGTCAAGAACCCGAAATCTCCTGTCAACAGCCACATGAGGGAGCTTGGAAGCAGATTATCAAGCTCTTTGCCCAGGACAGCAGTTTGACCTGGAAGACATCAAGAGCTGGAATCATCATGCTGAGATTCCTGACCTCTCCCAGAACTATGTAAGGTCTAAATGTGTGTTGTGTTAAGGTGCTAAATTTGATGGTAGTTTTTATGCAATATCAGATAAGGAATGCATTCATATCAAGTAGAGTCCCAGGAAAGATATTTAGGAAGTCTTCAATAATAACATTGCACATGACTGATAATTTGACTAAACATAGAATTCTGGTTTGTCAGCCGTTTCCCCTTTAGAATTGTGATGTTTTCCTAATATCTGCACATGTCCAGTGTTTTTATTGAGCAGTTCTATGCTTATCTGACTCCTGATTCATCTATCTTTAGGAGACTTAGGATTTTGCCTTTGCCTTGGGTATGCCATTTTCTATGCACTGTGCTGGGTAAGAGAACAAGCTTTTACATCAGTTTTATTCTATAAAATATTTTCAATTGTATCTTTGCTAAAACCTCCTCCACATGTATTCTTTCTTTCTGTAAATACCATTGGGTATTGGATATTATATTCCGACCCTCTGATTTTCTTCTTTGTTTTTGATTGCCCACATTTTGCATTTTTATTCAACTTGCTGGGAGGTTTCTCAAGTTGTATTTTCCACCTTTCTAGATTTTTTTTTTAACAAATCTGTCACATTTCCAAGAGTTCTTTCTATTGTTTGCCTGTTTTATTTTAAAGATCATGTACCCAGCCAGGCACAGTTGCTTGCACCTATTTCCCAAATACGCACAAGACTGAGGCAGGAGGATCCCTTGAGTCCCGGAGTTTGAGGCTGCAGTGAGCTATGATGGCACCATTGCACTATGGCCTGGGTGAGAGAGAGTTACTCCGTTTCTTAAAAAAATAAATAATGAAATAAACAAATAAATAAATAAATGAAGACCATATTCTTGTTTCACAGATTTATGTATTATCTTACCTAGCTGAAGATACTATGTTAATGATATCTAACATTAGATATTAATGTTAATCACATTAATGTTTCTTGTGTCTCTTGCATCACCCCCGTTTTCTCCATTGCCTTTGTTTATTTGTTTATTTTTTTTGTCATCCTTTGTCTTGGAGGACTGGTGAAAGTACTGAACAGTCTTGGTTATTCGTTCACACTTACGGCTGAGGTACTACAAATTGGACTGAAGGTCCCAAGTGCAGGAGCTACGCAGGTCAGTATTTGGTGTTTACTGTCTGATGATCCTATGGGTAAACCATTTTTTTTTTTTTCAGTGAGGGACATTTCTACAATTCTAGTTATCACATATATTTTTCATGGGGCTGTTCAGTTCTTCCATGGTCAAGGACTCTTATCTCCTGAATAGAGAAAAAAGAAGCCTCACCATAAGAGCTCTGGGAACAGAGCAAAAAATAAGTCTGCGGACAATCAAAAACAATGAGTTTGTGTTCTTTGTGGGGACATGAATGAATCTGGAGAACGTCATTCTCAGCAAACTGACACAAGAACAGAAAATGAAATGCCACATATTCTCACTCATAGGTGGGTGATGAAAAATGAGAACACACGGACACAGGGAGAGGAGCATCACACACTAGGGTCTATTGGAGGCAATAGGGGAGGGACAGCGGAGCAGGGGAGCTGGGGAGGGAAAGCATGGGGAGAAATGCCAGATGTGGGTGAAGGGGAGGAAGGCAGCAAATCACACTGCCAGGTGTGTACTTATGCAACTATCTTGCATGTTCTGCACATGTACCCCAAAACCTAAAATGCAACAAAAAAAAATAATGTCTGCGGATCCCATAGCCCAGTGTGCAGACAGTCCTTCATTTCCATATTTAGCCCAGTATCTTCAGCTTGCCCTCAGCTTTGGACAGTCTTTGGCTCAACTTCTATATGCTAAAGAATAAGCCTGGGATGAAAGTGAAAAGGAACTTATTTGCCTGAACTAGAAAACTGTTCAGCAAACACCGGGACAGAGGCAGCCTTTCTCCTTCATCTGCTCTCCAATTTCCCACCCTGTACTCCTATTTTTCACCATACTAAACTCTCTTCTGTTTTCTTTGTCTTTCTAAATTCCTACCTTTAAAAATTATTTACTTTTTTTTTGCCTTTTTTTTTTTTTTTTTGAGACCGAGTCTTACTCTGTCATCCAGGCTGGAGTGCAATGGTGCAGTCTTGGCTCACTGCAATCTCCACCTCCCAGATTCAAGCGATTCTCCTGCCTCAGCCTCCTGAGTAGCTGGAACAACAGGTGTGTGCCACCATGCCTAGCTAATTCTTGTATTTTTAGTAGAGACAGGGCTTCACCATGTTAGCCAGGCTGATCTCGAACTCCTGACCTCAGCCCCCCAAAATGCCGAGATTACAAGCATAAGCCACCATGCCCAGCCTGCTTTATGTAATTTTGAAGGAATTTAAGAAGGGAGAGATAATACATTTGCAGTCATTCTTCATGTTTAAATGAGAACATACACTTATTACAGGTAATTTTTCTGACCAAAAATAAAAAAACCTGTGGAGCCCTATTAATATTTTAAAATCACCTGTTCTGAGAAAGTAGCACTCCCCCATGTGCTATTCCAATACAGCATTTCAGTTGACAGTGGCTGTGGAATTTGGCTGGTGAGTCTCAGAGCTGGGGGTTCTCGCTGCGTCCTGAAACATGCATTACAGAAATCAACACCAATAAACACATCGTGTTTTTTCTTGACTTGTTAGTCCTGTGTGCTTCCTTGTGCATCGAAGTACAGTTTGCTAAATATCAGGAGATATCTGGCAAGTTTCTTCACTGGTTTTGTGTTTCTAAATCTCCCAGTGAGGTTTGGGCACTCCTGATATATTACCCCATTATTTCTGCCTTCTGCCTGGCCCCTCTCTTGAATGAAGATCTACAAGCAAGACATCGTGGTCGTGGGGTGCCAAGAAGTGAAGGTGGCATTCCCGGACAGAGAATACAACCTACATAGGTGCTCGAGCAAGCACCCAGAAACAAACGGCAGGCTCCTTGAGGGAAGTACACACAGTACCATGAAAAGTTAGAGAACAGAGCAGAAGAGTTTACAAGTGAAAAGTAAAAGTAATGGGCTCTGATTCCTTGCTGTGACTTCTTGGATAAGTCATTTAACCTTTCTCTGCCAAAATTTCTTTGTCTATAAAACACGGAAATACTAGTGCTAACTCCATAGTCACTGTGTGAGAATGAGATGGATTAATGTATACAACTACGAAAAGCACGTCTTGGTGCATACTCGGCATTTGATAGGTATTAGCTGCTAGGAACCGTTTTCTAGCTGGAAGATCAAAAAGACAGTGGCATGTGGCTGGTGGCAGGAATTTAACTGGATTCTTAGGCTGGAAACTACCGTCCCACCCATCTCTCCACTGCAGCTTTAGAACAGGGCATCCGACTGCCAGAGCCCTCATTTCTTAACATCGAGAGGTCAAGCTACTTATTAAAGTGGAGACATATCTTCAATAACTTTGAATTAGGAGAAATGATAATTCAAGGCCTCCTTGCTGGACAAAAGGTAATTAACTGCACAGAGAACTGAATAAACCCTGAGCTCGGGCCTTTCACTGAATTTGTTTCACATCTCAAGATGTAAGTATTTACAGGTCAAGTGCTCTAAGAAGAATAAAAACAAGTCTTTTCTCGGAGAAAAGCTTTCTTCACACTGACTCCAACTATTTTCTTAATCCTTAAACCTCTAATTAGAGTTCCAGTCTAAAAGCTAAACACTCAATCCCCCATTTTCTCTAACCCTGGTTTAAAAAAAATTCTGAAATAAAGGTAGTTCAGTAACCAGCGTGTTCTTTGGTCTTTTTGTAATAATCCTTCTTGTATTTACGCCACATCTTTCAAGTGAGTTTCTCCAAGCCCTTTACAGACAGGATCTCATTATCCCCCACCACACTGCTGCGAGACCCTTGACCACACAATTATCCCACATTTACAGATGAAGAACCGAGGCACCTTATGCACTCCTGTTTTCTTTCTACAAACAATGAAGCATCGTAAGGGCAAGAAATAATTATCCTGATTCTCACAGTACAGCTGTAAGAAACCAGCCTTGCTGAAAAACAGAGTTTCTCAATTCTTGGAAAATTTCTGAAGAGTTGTTTAAACTGGAAAAGTACAAAGTGAGACGACCCACAGGCCCTGACAGCATAGAGCCACAGAATTCCAGCTCCACAGAGACCCACTCCCCAAACAACCCTGCCTCCCACACGCACCTTACAGATGTCAGGACAGAATCTCAAAAAGAATACGGTTAAGAACTCAATTAATGAAATGCATATTCCTGCCTTTATACTAGAAGACTTTTGAAATGTACCCAGAAGAGCTGCCCCCTCTCCCCAATATGACCCCAAAGTGATCCTACAACATCTTCCCATGGATTCTATAGGGCATTTCCCCTCTCACTGTATATGTAACTTCTCCTCCTACTAGATTCAAACTACATGAATTAAATCCAAGAATACTCAGAGGTGAACTATGTGTTGAAGTACTCTGCCTCACACTGACATTTCAAAGACAAATTGTGTATTAATCTTACCCCCAAGAATCTTTCTGAAGCCAACTACACCATATTCATTTTTCTACTATGAGTACATAGAACAGGATCTGGCACATGGTAGGTGTCATAAATATTGGTGTCTCCACAAGTTTCATATGTTGAAGACTAACTCCAGTGTGGCTGTATTTGAAAAGGAGGCCTCTAAGGAAGTGATTCAGGGCAAATGAGGTCATAAGGGTGGGGCTATGATCCTATAGGATTAATGTCCTTATAAGAAGAGATACCAGCAAAGCCCCTCCCTCTCTCTCTTTTCCTTTCTCCTCATGCACAAGGAAAGGCCATGTGAGAACACAGGAAAAGGTGGCCAACACAGGAAAAAAGGTGGCCAACACAGGGCAGGGTCCTGACCACAGGCCAACCCTGTCGGTACCTTGAACTTGGACTTCCAGTCTCCAGAACTATTAGAAAATAAATTTTTTATTTTTTATGTCAATCGGTCTGTGGTACTGTTTTGGCATCTCTGGCAAACTGAGACAGTAGGTATTAAACAGATGTTTGTAGAGTTGATTATATTTTGACATTTTTATTGGCTTTATTTCCATACTAGCTCTTGGCTGAGGGAGTTAAAGGACTGACTAGAAGCTGCTATTGTCTGTATTTTGATTTTCTTTGAGGTTGGTACATGCTGTCCAGCTAGCTCCACAGCCAGAGTGGTCGGAGTTAAGGTGGGGAGTTTCCTTGTGTTTGACTATGTTGCCCCAAATATCTTGTGCCAGGACTGGCCCCACAGTGAGCAGACGTCTTTGTTAGCTTGTCCTACACATAACTCTGTTCTCTAGTTATTATAGCTCTCTACATACACACACACACAGACACACAGACACACAAACACACACACACACCCCTCTCTCTCTCTATTTTAGAAACATCAGAGATGTTCCCTGAAGGTCAGTGTCAGGGAGCATTTGAGAAAGTCATTCTTAAAAGGTTTAATTTTCATGCTTCTGCATGTTGAAATCTGTTTCCTGTGCCTAGATACAGCTGGTACCCTGTACCTTCTCCTTCTCCTTCTTCAGGTTAATGGCCCATCCACACCCAAGTGTTCTGCCTCTAGGCACTGCACATTTTAATTTCCTCTTTGTATTAAATGTTAACCCCAAATGCCCTAAATCCTAGCTTTCACATTCATGCTCTGATAACCACAGGATGCAGATCATTTGTGTTTTTACTTTTACCAATAATGAAATAAAATGTGTTTTACACTCTACAGTCTACACAGCATAGTTAC